AATTTAATGGAAAACTATGTGAATGGCGCTCTGTGGCACGGCAGGATTTTCTGTCGGCTGCATTTAAATCCGCGTCTGAAGTTTCCCGCTCTGTTCAGCGTGCAGTATCACGTGTCTAAACAAATAGCACCTGCTGTCAGTGATTTCAACCACTAGAGGCCGCTCTCGTACTGTATAATGACAGCAGACCCTTCTCAGCCGTTCCAGCAACGGACGCAACCCGGAAAACTATCGGCATGGATTTTGGCCGATAATGATAGTTCCAGCAAAAAACTATCGGTGCCGATTAATCGGCAAAACCGATACATCGGTCGACCTCTAGTTTTAATGACCAAAAATGCTGTTCATGTAGACTGATAGGTAATGGTGCCTAACAATGTTGTCTAGCTTGGCAGCTCAGTAGGCTCTGATAGGTAGGTGGCTGTATAGGTAGGTTGCTCACTAAGTTTTGAGACACAGCCGTTGATATTGATTAAGATTCTTGCTGCTGTTTTCTATCCTTGAATTGGTAGGGTACTTATGGTTCATGATTGTGCAAAGTAGCATTAGTGTGACTTGATACTCTTTATAAATTAAATTAGATTTTCTACATAAGCGCATTTCTACATTTTTCTTCCCCTCAGCAGTCAATTTGACGACTTATTGAATGTGACAAGACATGAATAAACCCAAAATGGCGGCAGAAAAGAGGTTGGTTTTTTCCCCCTCTTACACACACACACACACACACACACACACACACTAACTAACTACCTATAACCTGTGTATAAATGTGTTCCCAAAATTACATTCACACACACATTCATTAGCAGCTCTGTGATGACGATATGCAGTGTACATAGTTTGCTGAATGTCTGATGTTACCTAAAGAGGTGTGAGACATCTTTACTATGTAGCAAGCTTTGATGATGGTGTACTTTGCCTGTTGTGATGGTTTCCTGTATTCCCAGTGCTTCCCGGGTGCTGATGTTGCTGAGTCAGCTGGAAAGACTGAACGAGGAGCCCAAAGTCTCTGATAATGATGCCATCCGGCAGACCACAGGCAAAATCCTTCACCTCATCCAGACTCAAGGTGACCTTACACACACACACACACACACACCAAAAAGATGCATTCATACAGTGAGAGGGATCATCATTTTCACATATGCACAATAAAACCAATATTTAGTCGAAATCAAATTGAACTTTACTCTCTCTCTCTCTCTTTACACTTATTACAAGTGTCTGATCTTTTTGTGCAAAATCAGAACATAAAAATGTTTGATTTGATAATTTATCATCAGAATTACTTAACTAATTGGTTAACTAATGCTAACAGCAATAGCCAAATAGCTATTTAGACACTGTTTTAGGCTACTGTTGTATGGAATTCATATGGACTATATATATATAAAATAGTAATCTACTACTGGTTAACATTAATGTTCTAAAGGTTATGCAGGGTTCCCACGGGTCATGAAATTTCTGGAATATCATGGAATTTTAAAAGCTCTGTTCCAGACATTGAAAGTCAGGGAATATGTCAGGGTGTTTTGGTACAAACATTAAGAAAAGTACTTAAAACATTTGAAAGTGGTGCAGAACCCCACATTTTTTATTAATATAATTTCAGCATCAATATTTTTTAAAGATATTGATACCAAATAAGTAGCTTGTGAGTATCGAATGGATTAGAATTTTCTATCATTATTTATCCACCTTTATGTTGTTGCAAAGCAAAATCGTTTTCTTTATTCCATTGAACACAAAAGGAGAATGGCTTAAGAATCCTTGGAATATAGTCATATGGACCACTTGCTGGGAAATTTTTTTTTTTTTTTTTTTTTTTTTTTTTTGTCCAATTTATGGAATATCAGGGTTTTTTGTTTGTCGCTTTGAATTTTAGTTTCTGTTTATCAAAATGCCATTTTTCTAAACCATAATTTTTTTTTATCGCACTGTTTCACGCGATTTGCCTATTGTTATGGTTATGGTATTTTTCAGCACCATTTTATTCCCTTCCCGCTTGCCAACTGGCAATCACTTAAGTCAAATGCAGTCACGAGGCTGAAATAAAAAGACTGAATGATGAACTTGATGACAAACAGAAAATCCTTCAGAGCGTTTAACCGCTGAAAGTGTAAAAAACATAAATTAATTTTTGTAGAAGTAGTGCAGAAAAATATCAAAGTGCATTTAATGGGTAAAAAGTAGGGCTGCACGATAAATCGCATGCGATATTTAACGCGCATCTTATCAGTAAAGCCGGTTCTGTAATCAGCGGTAAATCTCCATCACCTGCGGGCTTTCACATTAAGCAGCATTAACTACACAGAGCCATGGTTCACTGACGAGCTGCGCAAAACCACGTTCATATTCGCGCAATTTTTTGCGCAGCTCGTCAGTGAACAACGGCTCAACGATGTGTAAATATCGCATGCGATTTATCGTGCAGCCCTAGGTAAAAGCAAAAAAAAAGGTAGTGTATATGCGTGTTTATCTTAGTTTTTTGTACTAAAAACTTCTGTGAACAAGTAAATAAAGCTTGCAAATGGATTTAAAATACTGTCTGTGGCTGGTTTTTGTCTACTCAGTGCTCAGCACAACAGCGGCTTGTTTTCCTATCATTATAGGTAATGGAAATTCAGCGTTTTAGTCAGTGAAAGTCAGGGAAAAGTCAGGGAATTTGACATTTGGCTTAGAGTGGGAACCCTGGTTATGGCAATTACCCACCTTATTTTTCAGCGTGGAAGTAAATTATTTTCTGTGAATGTGTGAGACTTCTGGTTCATTAGCCGCTGTGGGGAAATAACGAGAAGAAGAATAAAGTGCAGTAACGGTAAAACTGTTAGCGCTATAATCTCGTGTGTTCATAATTAAGATAATTAATTTTTAGTGGTAAAATGGGGGTGTGAGTGGCATTTCATGCTGAGTTTATTATTTCTGTAGGATATTTTGTAATATGTACGGTCTTGAATTGTGCAGGTTATCACATTAGAAATGATCAGCTTTCCTCCAGTACTGGATGCAGTCCCTCTGTGCTGGAATATGATTCAGATGGTTCCATTAAAGCAATTAATATATAATATTTCAATCATGACAACTCTCAGAATAGCTGTAGCGTGTTAATTGATATGACAATGTTACTATATTTGGTCTTGGCGGACTAGATCTGCAGTGCATGCTGCTGCAGAGCAAGTATGGACTTGCTTGTGCCAATATACACAGACACGCTGCTGTGAGCATGTCAGATATGCCGCTGCTGCATGACTATGCATACATAAATCTCGCAGCTGATCTAGACATGTGGTGCTGGTGGAGGTGGAGGGTTTCTGAGAGTGCCCTGCAAGACCAGTTTACAGCAAACATTGAATCAGACTATTAAATATTGAGCAAGCAATCTCAGGCCATCCAGTTGATACCATGTACTAAAATAAGTGATTGCTAACAAAATACGTAAAGGACCTATGAGTCTGTGCCATCTAGAGTTTCATGACTGAACTAATGAAAATGCATATTACTTCATGTTGGTTGGAGACTTTGGAGGATTATGGGAAACTACGTGTTCATTGACCACAAAATGGTCAATAAATGTGTTATCAAAGATATGTACATTACATTAGTTCACTTTGCAAAAAAAACAAAAAAAACACTTGAAGCCCAAAAGTATTCACTGCTTGATAAAGCCTATTAGAATGCAGTTATAATGCCCCTAAATTCAAGTTAGGAGGGCAAAAATATCCCTGTATGAGCATTTGTTTTATATATTTATATATGATATAGTTAAGTAATATGCATGAGTATGATTGCGAATGTGATATTGATTTTATGCAAAAGTTCAACAAACAATAAGTTAACCTCTTAAGGGGTGTAATAATAATGTAACCCCTATGATGTAATAGAGCGGCTAAGCACCGCCTCCACAGAAGAAGATCAACACCTGCTTCTACATCACTGTTTGTTTAGCCCCGCCCACCGATTCACGCATGTAGTGTTTACGAGAGAGGCGAACTCGGGTCTATGCAGAAACCAAACAATAAAGATGGCTCTGAAGACAACAAGACGCTGTGCAGTGCCAAGTTGTGGAAAAACAGTGTTTGCGTTGCCTTCCTTCTGGTCCCAGCATTAGGAACGATTGAATGAACTTTATTTTTAATGAAGATCCAGACCACGTCACGGTCCTTTGTTTACTTCATTTTACCGCGGATTCGTTTACAAACAAGGCTCAACTCAATGCGGGATTTTCAAAAAGATTGAAACTAAAAGACAATGCTGTGCCGAATATATTGGATCTGACAATAATGTCGCAACATTACGTGGTCATATTGATTGTCTCTTCTTACAGATTGTTTGATATGTATTGAGTTATCGATGTGTTTTTGACCTAAATCACAGCGGCGTCCATTTATGAGGAATGTACGCTGTCAAACATACACAACTGTTAGCTAATCATAGCAGTGGGCGTTTACTTACGAGTTTACAATCCGGCAAGCCTATTCAAACAGAACGTTCAAATGAAAACAGGACAGAAAATAGCTTATTATTTCTAAATTATGATGTTTTTTTATGTAAAAATCTTGATAACATTATAAGTGGACCTCAGAGAACAGTACAAAATAAAAAACAAAGACAGTTCATGATCCCTTTAAGTCAATTATTTAGCGACCCATTAATAACGACAGGCTGCATCTGAAATCGCATACTTCCCTACTCTCGAAAAACAGTAGGTGACAAAAGAAGTATGTCCGAATTCAAAGTACTCATAAAAGACTAGGCAAAGATGACCTACTACTTCCGGCGTGATTCTGGAGTGTGCATACAATGGACACTTTACCATCCCATGAGACCAAGGGAGAGGATTTACGAATGGCTGTGACGTGTCACAACTGACACTGGTAGGTCATGGGACAATGACAACATTATGTAAGTCCAGATTACATTCATTCTTTTGCGGTCACGAAGTAACTACTTACGGGAGTATGTGATTTTGGACCATAGTCATTTGCTTTGTTTCTAAATGAATCATCCGTTTTGAATGAATCATTTGAATAAAGACAGGGTTGGGCTGCCACCTACTGGCGGTTTTAGTCTAAACCAACCATGGTCAAGCGCAAAAACACACACGCACAAAATATCGCCAAATTATTATCACCCCCCCCCC